TTCTGTGGTTAAAACCCTCCAAAGCAAACCGAGGGCAGGCGGGGAAGGGAAGTTGGCCGGGCCAGCTCTTGGCCCCCTGATTAGGAGGGTCAGGCTCCCCCGACACGAGGAAACTGTGCTCCACAGCCCCTGCTCACCTCCCCCCGACCCTGCATGGGAGCCCGCTAATGTGGGGGACCAGAGGAGGTAAGCGGGTGTAGGTGGGACACCAGAGCACTGTCTGAGGACAGAGCCTGCAGCCAGGGTGCCAGCCTTCTGCAGGACAGACATGAGCATCAAAATCCACGGGCAGTGGGGTAGGAGCTCCAGCTGCTCCGCAGGGCGCTGGCCCCTCGCAGCAGGGAGGGTGCGGGACAGAGACCTGGGGCACATCCTGCCAGGAGCTGGCTGTGCTCACAGCTGCACTCACCAGCTTGGCCTGACCAAGCTCATCTCACCTGCATGAGAACTGGTAAAGGAGAGACGCTGGCACCCTTCCAGAGCACAGATTCAGGCCAGATTAAAGCAATCACACAATCATGAGCTCAGCAGGATTTGGAGAGCATTTCTTCCTCCTGGGGGTCTGGCTCTCCCACTCAGCACCAGACACCTGCAGCCACACACACCACACAGGGCACCTCGCAGCAGGCCAGGGTGGCTAATCCAGCTCTGCAAACACAAAGGAGTGAATCACGCCTGTGCAATGCCAGGCTGCTTCGAAGCAAGCCTTGCGGTTATTCCCTTTGTTTCCCTCTTACACAGGAGCTTCCTGGAGCAGCAGAGAAGTGGTGCCGGTGGCAATGGAAATGAGCTACTGTGGGGAAGGTGCCACTTCACCGTGAGGCAACAAAACATAGCAGGCCAGCAGCATTCAGCACCACTTCTGTGAACCCAAGTGAGTGAGCTCGTCAGTTTAGGGCGGCACAGAAAGCTCAGTGCAGACACCACACTCAGTCATGGCTGGGGGGGGATGGACATGGAGTGCAGTTTAGGCTGTTTAATGAGACATTCAGATCACCAAAGTGTGCCGCTGATGGGTGGATCCAGCCTTTGCTCAAAGCTGATCAAAAGCCTCCATCATCTCCGAGTTTGTGTGGCTTCCTCAAACACCCGGAGCAGTCCCATCACCGGCATTCACCTGAAGATGGTGCCTCTGTTCTGGTGAAACAGTCCCTGGGGGAACCAGACATTTTAGATGCCAAGTACGGCCCTCAGCCCAACGAGCCGTCTGGGCAAAGAAGGGAGATGCAGCATTATCTCCCAGATGAGGGAGCTCTGTCAGGTAGCATGGTGTAGTTCGGCATGAAATGTCACCAGTATTTATTGCCAGGCATCCTAGAGCAAGAGGAATGCTTCCTGATGAGCTCCCACATGCAATAGCTTTTGATTTATACAAAGCCCCGAGGCTTAAACACCTGTGGGGACCACAAGTACAGGGGTGCTTGCTCCATCTCGGCCAAGGCCAGGGTAAAGAGACTTCTGGGGTGTTCCCCATGCTTATCCTGGAGATAGAGTGATTGGGCATGACGGAGCATGTGCGCCAGCACCGGGCGAGAACAGGACATTCTCCCAAGGAAGAAAACCTGAGCTCTCATCTACAAGCGACACCCATGCTGTAAATCTGCATTCCAGCTACACCCAGGGCAGCACCTGGCAGGAGTCGTACCTCCCAGCCTCTCACCAAAGCACCCAGCAGCCATCTTCACTGCCTCGAAAACCAGAAGCCCCGGGGAGAGCCAACAATAAGAGAAAACAGGCAAAACCGCGCCATTCCGATTCAGCAGCTTCCAAGCTTGACCCTCCCACGGCTCTTCACCTGGGTCCACACCCATGCAGCTCTTCTTCTCAAGTGACAACCACGGGTCTGGTGTCCCTTTCCTGATTCACATTTCAGCCACTTATCTGCAGGTAAACAGCTAAAAATCTCCTTCAAATTTTCCTCTGCTCCCGCAGGGGGAAGAACTTCCTCAGACCTGCCTCTACCACGACTTGGCCTCTTCCTTCCCCGAACAAGGCAGGTCTCTCCTACCATGAATGAGTCCAGCACCTGGAGTCACCTCGGCTACCTGCAGAATCCCAGTGCAGAGGGACGGAGGATTCGCTCTCCCTTCTGAGCGGGAACTGGCAAAGGTTTAAAAAGGAGAGGTGAAATGGATTTCCCACTATGCATTCCGCTGTCTCTGAGCTCATCTGCCCTTCGAGGCTGGAGCAAAGGAAAGTCCCAACGTGCTTCTGACACCTTGCTGAAGAAACCATTCATTGAAGCCAAGCACTACACACTTCCACCAGTGTTTCTTGGCCCAAACAAGGGACTGGTGAGCCTTCAGAACTACTGCTGTAAATATCCTTTAAAGAACACTTTATTTAAAAGGGGAATAATAATTAAAAAAAAAATCTACACAAACAAAAAACAGCCTTAGGTTTCTTGCACGCATAATAGAGGGAAGGAGAGCTCTGCCTTCAGGTTGTAAGCAGATGAAAACATGAGTAAGGGATGCTCTCAACCACAGTGCAGTTTCTCAGAGAAGACTTGGCAGTTTTCCTCTCTCTTCCACACTTGTAACACATTTTAGTTTAGGCAGCCACTCAAGAAGAGAGGTTGCTTGGTTTCCTTCAAGAATCTAAGTAAGCGCAAAAAAATTGGGTGCTGCAGGCTAGATGATGGAGTATTTCAGGAGGGACAACCCAGCTTTCTCTAGAGGAAGGTGTCTGCTGCCTGTGGAACCTGGGAGAACACATTGTGTTCAACACTAGGTCTGAATAAAAAACTAGCACAAATCCACCTCTGCTTAGCAGTGGTCTCAGACCCACAGCCCTTCGAGCGCAAGCTATGTGCTAGTTCAGTGGCAGATACCATGCAGAACGACTAGTCTAGTTGAGGATGTGGATTCAAACCCAGGTTCTGCTTTCACACAGGTTTGTAACCTACCAGTTTGATAGCCTGAATCACCAGGGCAGTCTTCCAAGGCATTCTCACCATTTCCTGGTTTACCGGGTAGAACAGACAAGTTCTTTCATAATTTCACAGTAAAGAAACAGCCCGTTTTACTGCAGGACAGGACTGCAGGATACACATTCAGCAGTCTTAGTGATTAACAGGTAACAAAACCAATGATGATGGACAACTTGCTCTGCTTTTGCAGTGGACCACACTCAACCTAGGCTGAATCACCACCAGGCTAGTACTATAGCAAAGACCTTCCATAAACCAAAACATCCACATTGCTGGAAAACAAAAGGAAAAGCCCTGAAAGGAATTAAGAGTCCAGACATGTTATGTAAATCAAAGCAGATTATTTATTTATGAAACTGAAAGTGATGACCACTTGTAGTGCAATGACAAGCCCAAGTTTTTTTATCTATAGTTTGAAATGAACTATCAAAGCCTGTCTCTCCAAACAATTGTGCTTTGCTATCATGTGCCTGTTCTACAGGCTCCGGAGCACATAATACACACCTCACACTTCCGAGGACAAAGAAGCACCTCTTTGGACTTCCGCAGATAGTTACTTCATTTCATAACTTCTGTGACACAAAGAAATCACTCAAAGGATCTTTATTTCAATGTTTCCAGTTGCTGGATTTTGAAAGTCACATTATTGTGACTCATTAATCCCACCCCTCCCTTGATTAATTAATGATTAATCCTGATTAATCCCCCCACAAATAAGCAAAGTGCAGTGTTCTTAAATTGCAACGATGGCTCCAAGCAAGAGGCCATCACAGAAGCAATTTTTGCTAATACAAAAATGTGATTAAAAAGAAGATTGCAAAGTAAGGTCACTGAAATTTAAAAATAAACCTCTACACATAAAAATAGATTGGCAATTTATGAAGGCACAACAGGAACTACCTGAGGCATTCAACCAACAGACTTTGGCACCAACCAGGACAGAAGGGTTCCCGTTCCCAAGGCAGGCTGACAGAAGGAAAAAAAAAAAAAAAAAACACAAACCAAACCACCAAAACTATCAAGGAACATGTGAGAAGTATCATTACAGCAAACACGACTGCAACACTTCTGCCAAACTCAGCACCTAAGCAGTGCTGCGTGAGCAGTTCCGTGCACGTGCCCGCTCTGACACCAAGCAGCAGATGGGCCATGTCAAGCAATGACGCGTGGTATGATGTGTCACTGTTGCAAGGTGCAAAACCAACAATGTCTATTTTTCTGTGACAAACACTGCCAGCAGTTGTGTTTTTTCCTGTATTTACATCTCTTCCAGTTAGGAACAGAAAAGATCAAAGCTACAGAGCACAAACAGGTAAGAGGATTAGTATGAATGGTACACTCTCGAGGCACTGAGCGCCCACAGTGTGCAAGGGAGAGCATGGGTGCAGACAGATCTCCCCAGCCCAGCGATACAGTGGCCAGGGTCAGGCTGCATCCTACATCTTCTTTATTTCTGGCGGTTTCACAGGTGGCCATCCCTGCCATTTATAGTACGATACCAGCTGCTTAGGCACTTCAGCCAGAACCATCTGGGAAAGCGCTTCCCGGGGAGCCTGCAAGGAGAATAGGGAGAATAAATCAGAAATACTGCAGAGAAAGGATGTATCAGCCCAGTGACAGTCTCTCGTACAGAATTCAGAGTGCAGCCCCCCACCTGCCGCATCTCACTCCCTGTTTCAAGAATTCCTTGCTGCAGTTTTAGGAGCACTTCCAGTCAGTCTCAGTGAGCACTACTGATGCAGATCACTTGTTCCCACCCCTGCACTGCTCCCACCTCAAGCCCAGCGTCACCCAGCCTTTATATGGCCCCGAACTGGGCAGAAAACTGCCCCAGCCACTAGCAATTTCTCTTATTTCGGATTTTCATTCAACTCCACTCTTCAACCCAATTCACTGTGCAATGTGCATGAATGCTAGTGCCAACAGTGGAAGTAGGGAGGACTTAGCTCAGCTTAAATCACTCATGGGACTCAACATCAGAGACTGACAATATGATCTCAGTTCCTTGCCTAAATGTTTGCATCTCAGGAGCAAAAACACCTCCTTTACTCCTTTCACCATGCAATAGCCAAGAGACAGTATACTAAATCAATGATCGACGACAGCTCTTTAAGAAAAGCTGCAAGAGAGCTGCAACAAGGCACACTGTTTCAAACACAGAAGCAAACATCTCAACTCTCACTAGGAACAAGCTGCTTGGGCAGCACTTTGAGTGTGCAGCTTGCTGCCTTGTCTAGACCCAGGCTCATTCTTTAGACGTAATAACCGCATATATACTGGCATCAGGACTTTTCTGCAGTTAAAGACAACGTACATTTTTGAACTGTTGGAAAGGCACAAACTGGACAATGTCTCGTGCAGCTGGCTCTCCCGTCGGGGACTTCAGCACACCGTTGTCTCCGTCAAGGAACTCCATCGCTTTGAAATCAGCTGCACCAACACCAACAATAATGATGGACATCGGCAGCTTAGAGGCGTTAACAATCGCTTGCCTAGTTTGGTCCAGATCAGTGATCTCTCCATCTGTGATGATCAGCAAGATAAAATATTGCTGAAAAACATTAGAAAGCACCCAGTTAGGGAGTTCAACACCAAAGCTCACGTAACTGAAGGCAAACGGAGCAATTTCTTACTCTTAAGAAAGAAATCGGATGGTGCTGTGGATAAGACAAAACCAGAACATTAAAGAAACTTATGTTTATTCTCTTTTTTTCATATGCATAATGCCTTTCATTGTGTACTTCAGATTTCCTCTCTACTAGAAAAAAGGTAGAGACTTAAATCCAATTTATAAAGAGCAATTACATGAATTGACAGAAAGTACTACAGATTAGTAAAATCAACAAACCTGCACACAAAATTCACTATGAATGCTGCTTTACTCACTGACATCTCAAAAAGGCTAAAGTTTAATATTTAATATCCCTGGAGTGTAACTCAAAAAGCCTTCTTTGTTAGTTACCAATAATTTAAATTGTAAGTATTAGAAATCTCAAAACACAGCAGTGACAAATGTCATGACACAAAGACACTCTAGAGATAACAAGAGAATACACGACCTTTTCTAGAAGGAAAAAAACCACCTCACACACACACATTAGCACATGGCGAAGTGTTTAAAATTTCCTTCCTTTTCCAGAGGCTATGGTTTAGCACCTTGTTCTGAAATGAGCAACCACCGTTTTATAGCAGCTATCTACAGACTTAAAATGAAAATAAAAAATTACACACGCACAATGAAAATGAAAGAAAACTGAATTTCTAATTCCAAAACCCAGTTAACACAAGTGTTACTATGGTTGTACCCCATTACTGACAGATGCTTTATTTAAATAGTTAATTTTTCATGTGTAAGAAAAAGTAGAGCTATTTAACGTATTAAGAGAAATCAGAAGAGTCCCCCAAGTGTTGGGAAAGCCAATAAATACCCTCAGAAATGTAAGAAATGGATCTCCCAAGACCAAGCACCTCACAGTGTGGGAAACGTATTCGATATACACACAAACGTAAGTAGAACAAAAAATACTGATAGAGATACACCGTAAAGCAAGTATCAGAGTGTACATCAAAATTCCTTCTGATTGGTCTGTCAAAATGGAATCAGTTCAATCTATCAGGAAATATAAGTCCTTCATCCTTAAGCAAAAGGAATGAAGTTTAAGGAAACAGAGTTGGATTTTAACAGCAGTCATGGCCATGCAAGCACACAAATGAGACATGCAACACAACTGTAGGGTAGCATGGATGCTCTGCAATGCAATCAGCATACTGATTTAACAGTTCTCAGACTCCTTTGTTAATCTGGCACCCCGATTCTGCACGCCACCATGGTGGGATGGATACTTGAGCCCTCTGATGTTTTTCTTGGCAGTGGTCTTTGTGTACATTCTTGAGAGCAAAATTGTTTGGAATAAAATATATAGGGGCCTTTTATACCGTATGCATTCCCTACAGGTGATGGAGCCTGGCATGAGAGGTTACAGTGATGCAGCTGCTGACAGGGTCGAACCGGTCTACAAGCCAACATAGCACCCCTGTATACTTCAATAGTAAGTACAATGATAGCAAACTGTGAAAAAGAGAAATAAATATCACTTCAGCAATGGAAACTAATGTCAATGTCTATCAAGTGCAGGTTCATATCAGTATGTACCAAGAGAGTACCGACAGCCTCTCTGTAGGCTGGGAAGAGAGGACCACACTTGAGATCCTAAGGAAGGAAGACAACATCACTTTACCATTCCATTCTATCCCACCACGAACACGGAAAACAGAAACATCAATCCAGTGCAGACCCACAGGAAAGGACAGGCACTCACTGAAGCAGTTCCTTGTTGCGCTGAGTGGGCTGCAAACCTTGCCACGTGGTTTATAATAGGAGAGAAATTGGTTGGTCCATAGAGTCGGATCTGAGGCAGGATCTGGCGGTAGGCATCCACTATTCCTTGGATCCCTGTAACACAAGGAAGGCGAGCTGCCACAAGAGCCTCACAACTTCTCCAGTAATTATTTTATAAGCATTACTAAATAGTACGGCAAGAGGATAGTAACTCTCACACAGCTGTGAACTCCTAAAGGACAGGTAAGCAGCAGGACAACAGCAAATACACAAAGCACAGGGCTGAAACCAGTGGACACCTGCAGAGACAGGATTTGCAGACTTCTCCCCCATTGTACATTCTTCACATCACTCTCTGTGCCTCTAACATCACAAAAGCCCATGGAAGTTGCAGGAAAACAATCCAGTGAAGCCATGCTGATGACTACGTTTACCTTCTCCTTTCTACCTTGTCATCCAATTTGCCTTGTTTAATTGCTTATAGTCTAATTAGACAACAAGGTCAGAAGCTCTCTGGAACAGTAACTTTTCATTTTCCTTGACTGAAAGTTAGATAGTGATCCATGACTCAGAATTCAAACATTTCTGTAACAGAAATAACAATCCCTAAGGTCTTTCCTAAGCAAGAAGCCATTCTCAGGTTAACGAAGATTTTTTTTACATGTCTGATTTTAAATGGTGCATATTCTTCTGTGGATCCATCTAAATTGGCCTATTCCTGGCTTGTATCAATGTAGCTTCATTTGCCACTGCTGCTTGTGTTGTCCACCATGTAGGTTTTAGTCCAGTACCTCTCAAAACTGCTGCACAGGGACCCTTAAAGAGCAAAGACACAGACTCCAATGAGGCAAACAATGCTGAACTGAGAAAATGTCTGGATTTTAACACTGAATCTCAGATTCTTCTTTTGTTCGCCTTAGACCAGAGACAAGAACTGAACTGAGTTAAAAATGCTTGTTCAAGAACAATTCTGTGTCATTGCATGCTGAGAGTTCTTAGTCCTAAAACGTCATAATCCAGCTTAGAGAGCAGCCATCAAAAACACTGAAACAACCTCCACTAAAGGAGATGGCTATAAAGAAAACAGGCTTTTAAGGCAACCCTGTAAAAGGTAACATTCAAACATATACACATTGCTGATGAAGTAACCATGGTCTCCAACGGCCTTAGCAGATGGTTGCTCTGGAAGCACAACTAGCACAGGCACATTGCTGATCTGAATCCACTGCCACCTATAACATACCAGAAGTAAAGAAGTTGCAGCAACAAAAATTTCAGCAAAGACTAACCATTACATTAAATCTAAACCCCTTCACTGGAGCTTACGTAGACCACACAGAAGTCTGCATCAACACACATCCACTCTTGTCAGCATCCAGGTGAGAGTAAATCTAGTTTGTTGCATGTCACGGTGCTGCATCTGTTTTTCACCAGTTATGAAAGCAACACAACACTTCAAACATCTGTTCCTCTCAGTGAAATATTACTAAAGAGGTGTCCTCACCTTGACAATAAGGGTTGGTGGGGTTGAAGTTCAAAGCAAACTCATGAGATACCTAGGAAAAGGGACATTACAAACAGTTAGGGAATGCAAACGTAGACAGAGCAACTGCCCAGTGTTGCGAAGGCCCTACCTGCCAGCTAGGAGGAACCTGAGCTCCAAACCCAAATGCAGGAAACAGCTTGTCCCTGGAGAGAAAGGGCAACAACAAGAAATGAGAAAGAGCAATTCTTTAGTATCTCACTATTCTGCTTCATTCCCAGAAAGCAGCTGAAGACCAATGTTCAATTCCTGCTACAAGGAGTGGGTAGACCATCTAGCTCCCTATGGCCAGTCACCAGTTACCCAAAGGTTTCAGGCTGGGGCTGGACAGTTTCAGAATTTCTTTCAGTGCAGTACCCCACAGGACTCTCAGGAGATTTCAAGTAGCAAGAGAAAAGCCAATCCAAACACAGCCTGGCTAAAGGACAGAGCAGACAAACACGTTCCCATTGAATCAAAGAGGACATTCATGTTTGAAATGCACCATCAGCAACATCAGCAACAAGAGACTAGTGAGCAGCTAAAGCAGCGTTCCAGAGTAACCCAGGGCCATAAAAGGGCAGAGCTGGAGGGACGAACCAAGCAAATGCCAAATTACAAAGGGCTGCCACTGCCCTCCCTGGCACTGACAGAATCAGGGGGATGCAGTAGCAGCTCCTGAAGGGATCTCCCAAGGAAAGGTAGCACCTCAGCCATTCAAATGCTACAGCTCTGGAACAAGCCATCGGCCCTGATCACTGACACCCACTATGACACATTTTTCATGCAGTGGCTAGATGAGTTAAGATCATTACATACGTGTCATAATCCTGGACTACACTTCCCACACTCCAGATGGCAATCAGGTACTCATTTATCCCATCTGGGCTGATGTAGTGAAGAGAATCTGGTGACCTGGGATCTCCATTGGAGCCAGTGAAGTCTACACCCACCTAATCAGTCAAGATGATGACAGCAAGTCACTGATGCATCCTCATCAGCAAATGAGAAGAACTAATCGTACCCAGAAACAGAGGGTTAGACCAGGCCCACGTCGCTCACTCCCTCCCAGGCACACAGGCAGCCCTATACAGGAACAGGTAAAAAAGTCTGTGTATCTTTTCCCACTAGGGTACCTGCATGCATACATACATTTCCCATAGGGCTGAAGAAGTAGTAAACCGTTCCACTGACAGACCAAACTGATTTCTCAAAAGAAGTTTAATAAACCCAGATTCCATTAGAGTTGCTACTTGATTACAAAAAGTAAAAATACAGGACCATTTGGTTTTTGCAGTCTTCATCACTGCAAATTCAGGCTGCATTTGCAGCCATTCACACTGCAAATAAAAGTACTAATCACAACTTCATTGCTCTTGTCCTGTCATCTACCAAGATGTGCAGTGGGGAAACAACTCACTGTAAAGTTAATCTGGCAGCCTCCCATGACGTAGTCCAGAAATGAATAGGCTGTCTCAATCTAGAGGAACAGACAGACAGTGTTACACTACCTCCCCACAGGAACAGATCTCATTAAGATCAGAAAATAAAAAAGCCAAAAACCAACAAAAACCTTCCTACCTTGCAAGATTTTATCCTAATAATGCCAGAGTTTTTGTAGCTCTTTTTCTTTCGTTTTTTCTCAGGATGAATACATTCAAATTCCACCTACAGAAAGCAAGTACCCAAGAAGCAATTTCCAAAAGATCTGCATTTACAACAGGGCAAAATGAAACAGAACAGCGTCTGACATCAATTTCAGTTACCCAAATACTCGGCAGAATTCTGAAACTTAAATTTAAGAAGGTTTGCAACTACTGTGGCTACTATCTGATGAGTTAAATGGGCTTTTGTCACCAGCACTCGGCAAAACATGAGGAAAGACCTCAGAAAAGTCTCTCTCCTCAACAACGTAACTGTTACTCCGTATACAATCATGGAAGAGTGTCACTGTATCAGAGGGGAAAAAAAAGTCGATCACAAATACGAGCATGTCTCTTAACATAATCAGCTTCTTTTTCGGTTAAGGGAAGGGAATGTACTCAAACAGAAGATGAGGAGGCAAAATCTCGGGGTAGGGGATGCCAAAAATGCCTAGGTTGCAGGTTCCCAATGGCAGCGTTTCACTGTCTTGTTTCACTCGCGTTAGTTCTGAATTCACATGGGCTAGGGAAAAAGGCAAGAATCTTCCACCAGCTTTAGGTTTACAACCACAGAAATCAAGTTGGCTGGCAACTGGAAGCAGTCCCAGGCTACGTCCTGTGTGCAGGTTCATCTGTCTGAATTCAGACGAGACATCTCCACAAGAATAAAAGTTCAGGTTTTCACTGCAGACAACAAAGACAAACCGGCACCACTAGCAAATGATTCAACCTCGTCTAAACTGGATGCCCAAGACAAGGTAAGAAGAGTGTCCCTTGGAAGCGCTGCTCCTCTCCGTTAGCTAGAAACGCGACTAGAGCGCTCATGAGGGTGACCAGCTCAAGCACAA